CATCACCAACTAGACTCCAAATCTCCTTCAAGTATACTCGAAGCTGTCGACATAGTAGATAGTGGACAGTCCTACCAGACCACACGCTTTTGCGTTCAGCTAGCTTCACAATAATTCCAAGAGGACCCTGCCTCATGTGATCCCACACATCCCGTCCTATTGCTTCTCTGACGTTAGGGAAATCTCCCATCTGCAAATTATGATTAATCTCTTTATTTTCTAGATTAGAAGCCCCTTCAGCGTAAAGTCGTGGAGGATAATCCCGTGCTTGATCTTCAGAAATAGCCATCTGATCCTAAAACCCATATATAGATAAATCAGCCGCAATAGAAACAAAACTCAACAACAACATAATAAATAACCCAGCCACCATAGCAATAACTCAGCCAAAACATAATCAATAACTCAGCCAAATCATAAATAATAAATAACTCAGCCACAACATAATGTATAACTCAGCTACAGTAATCAATAACTCAGCCAAAACATAATCAATAACTCAGTCGGATCATAATCAATAACTCAGCCACTTCATAAATCAANTGATATCGGAGACGGTTAGGGTTTAACGAGGTCGACGAAGATGATTTAAGATATCGGAAACACTGTTTGAAACGAGAGTATTAGTTGTGACGGAGATGATTTCGGGATTTCGGGATTTCGTAATCGGTTAGGGTTTAACGATAGTTGTGACGGAGAAGAATGTAACATTAAGACTTTTTTTTTGTTCACCGGAGATATGAGACTGTTGATTTTCCAGTGTAACTGATGACACAAATTAGTTAGTGACGTGGATTGTCAAATTATGATGTGGATTTAATAATTAAAATTTGTATCAATAGTAACAAAATTAAACAAGGGTGTTTATTGTAATTTACTAGGAGTCTAAAAACATTCTAATAATTTTTAGAAAATATATACTATTCTAGTCATATACAAGGTTTTGTGTATCATTCTAGTAACTAGTTGCATACTCCCCGCGCAAGCGCGGGGCCGGGATCATTATGTTTGCGTGTATTTTTTTCGATTGTTGATTTAGTAGATTCTTCTAATGATACCAAATAATAATGAAATGGAAAATTTCATGTTTTTATATCGTATGTCAAAACTTGATATAATTCTATATTTACAGTATATATATTTGTATTAAACGATTTATCAATTTGAAAATAGCCTTAATTAAGTTAGTATTCGTTGTTTAAGTTTCATTAGATAGGTTTTTATATATGGTTTTTTGTAAGTTTGAGTTTTGTTCATAAATGATGTGACATTTTATCTACGGAGTCATCGACTGTGGGAATCCATTCGCCGAAGTCTGGAGTCGGTGGTGAGAAATGTTTTTAATGAAATTATAGTAGTTATTAAAATGTAAGAGAAATTACATATTCATTTAATAAATAACTAAAAATACTTAAATTTTGTTGTTTATTTTATTTTATTTCACATACAATTTTTTTTTGAAAAATATTAGGAATGTGTTAAATGTTATTTATATGCGAAGTAAGGTTTATAGGAATAATTAGGCTATAATATAGTTTTTAGTGTGTAAAAGTAGGTGTTTTTTTTTGCTGTAAATAGTTTTTATATCGTAGATCAAAAGTTGATATAATTCTATATTTATAGTATTTATATTTGTATTAAACGATTTATCAATTTGAAAATAATCTTAATTAATTTAATACTCGTTATTTAAGTTTCATTAGATAGGTTTTTATATATGTTTTTTTTTAAGTTTGAGTTTTGTTCATAAATGATGTGGCATTTTTATCTACGGCGTCATCGACTGTGGGAATCCATTCGCCGGAGTCAGGAATCGGTGGTGAGGAATGTTTTCAATAAAATTATAGTAGTTATTAAAATGTAAGAGGAATTACATATTCATTTAATAAATAACGAAAATAATTAATTTTTGTTGTTTTTTTTATTTTATCTCACATACAAATTTTTTGAAAATATATATTAGGAAATATGTGCAATGATTTAACTTTTGAGCTCTTAATCTATATTATTCAAGCCTCATTAAGCCATCCATGTAGGCACCCCGCGTGGAATTCACTTTTTTTTTTGTCTGTTCGTTTTTGGATTTATTTTTTATTATTATTGAGTTGAGCTATATTATAATAGGATAGTTTTAACGTTGTTTAAGCCATCCGCGTAGGCAATCGCGTGAGATTTGCTTTTTTTATTATTATTGTTCGTTTTGGATTCATTTTTAATTATTTTGGGTTTGAACTTGTTAAGATTTATGGTTTATCCAACTATTTTGATCTTTAAAACAATAAGCCAAAAGAAAAAACATAAAAACCTTATAAACAAAAAGCTCATATAATAATAACCCAAATAAAAAAAAATCAAAAATACATGATAGCTGCGTGGTTTGAACCCACAATCTTGCAAACTTAATTAGACACCTTATACCACTTAGCTAAAGTGTATTTCATTGTTTGTGATCATCTTACCAAGACTATAATTGTTTAAAAAATATCTACGGGACCCATAAAACTGCTGACGTGGCGCGCTGTGAAACCTAGAAAGTGTACTATTATAATATAGATTTTCTCTTTAATAAATTTTACACTTCTTTCTTCTTGTAAGACAAAACACAAGAGAACAAATAGCAATTGCTCCTCAGAAAAGGAAAACCAAGCTCGACCGAGCAAATTTCTTCGGTTCCCTTATTTATAACCGAACCAAATCATATTTCCTTTTCCTGGATTTTAGGACGGCCAGCCCTAAATGCCTCCTCCGAACGTATCCTTAAGAATGGATTTAGGGATATCGAAAAGCCACGGCTAGTCAACTAATGTGGACCAAACTTTTCTAATTCCAGAAAGTAACCATTACATAAAGCTTCATCCTCTTTTTTCATAAATGCATTACTATTTTTGACCCTACACGTTCTTGGTGGAGCGCGCATTACACACTGCGTCAGAATCGAATCTCACGCGTCTTTTCCTTACCTTTTAGTTCTTCGAGCCCACAAGAATCGCATATCTGATTTCATCTAATTCGTGGGTCCATCCTCAGAGATGTGGTCGGCGGTGGGTGTTTTGAGGCGTACGGCGGTTTCCGCCGTGAGTAAAGGTTCTCCGATAAGGCCACGGCTCGGCAGTGGTTGCAGATGTCTCACCGTCGAAACAACAGAGAAGGAGAAGGAAAAGGAAAAAGAAAAGGAAAAGGAAAAGGCTGAGGAGATAACTATAACGGAAGCGAAGAAGCTAATGAGGTTAGTGAATGTTGATGAGATGAAGAAGAAGCTCGGTTGTATGGGGAATGAAGAAACTGTCTCTTACACTAAACTCATTGAAGCATCTCAAGGTTTAGGTGTCGCTAGATCTCTCGACGAAGCTCACGCTTTCGCTCGTTTACTCGATGATGCTGGTGTGATTTTGATTTTCCGTGATAAAGTCTATCTTCATCCAGATAAGGTCTGAAATTTAATGTTTGTCTGAAAAAATTAAATCTTTGTCTGAAATTGATCTCTGTTTCGTGGCTTTTTGTTATAGGTAGTCGAGTTGATTAGAAAGGCAGTGCCTTTAGGTTTAAATCTAGAGGATGATCCAGCTAAAGTCGAGTTCGAAAAGCTAAGGAGTATGAAGGAAGAGATTGATGTTTTAGCTCATAAGCAAGTGAGGAAGATTCTGTGGTGTGGTCTTGGTTACTCAGTGGTTCAGATCGGACTGTTCTTCAGGCTAACTTTCTGGGAATTTTCATGGGATGTGATGGAACCGATTACGTTTTTCACTACAGCAACTGGGATTATTGTTGGTTATGCTTATTTCTTGATGACTTCGAGGGACCCAACCTATCAAGATTTCATGAAGAGGTTGTTTCTTTCTAGGCAGAGGAAGTTGCTCAAGAGTCGTAAGTTTGATGTTGAGAGGTTTAAGGAACTTGAGAAGAAGTGGAAGATGACGTCTTCTTCTTCATCTTCGTTTCTTTCTTGCCACGCGAACGCATCGATTCGGAAATGTGTTGGGGTTGATCTTGATTTAGAGGATTCTTTGCATAGTCGCACGGATTGATTCTTTCGGTTTCTGGTTTTTTAACCAATATTCACTTTTGGTTTTATATACTTGAACCAGTGTCACTGGAGGTTCTTCTTCATGTTTGATTCTTTGGTGTTTACAAAAAAGAATCCAAAGGATGTTTAGTTTTGCAAGTAGTCAATGGAGATTTATTTGATAATCTTCAGCTACTGTTATCTAAAATCACTGATAAATGGAACCCTTTACTTTATGGTTTTATGTTTTTACCGGACTATAATAAATTGAACGAACCTTTGATTATGGGAAAATCACATAAAAAAACCTTCAAGATAACGACCATTTACACTTTAAACCCTAAGAATATTTTATAATCATTTTAAACACTCAAGTTGACAAATTTAGCATATTAAACATCCAATCTGTTTTACTTGTACATCAAATTAAAAATATAATCGATACTGTTCAAAAACGATAACGTGTCGGTTTTTTTTCTAAAAAAATATATTTTACTAATAAATAAATATAAAAAGACAGAAAATATAAAAATTCATTAAAAATTCAAAAAAAAATCATAAAATCATAAAAATTAAAAAAATCACAAAATATAGAAAATACTTTATTAATACAAAATTAAAAATAGAAAATAATAAAAAATTTAAAAGAAATTATAAAAATACGAAAATAAGAAAATTCACAAAAGTTTAAATAAAATAATTTTTAAAAAAATAAATATAATAATAATATATAAAATAAATATAAATTCAAGAAAAATATATTTTTATAAAGAAAATGAGAATACACTGTATTTTAGTGCTTATTAGTCAGGGTTTTCTGGATTTTATAACTAGATTAATATAGGGTATTTTAATAACTGCTAAAAGATTTGAATTTTAACTTGTTTGCTTTGATTTGGTTCACGAGAATCATTTGATGATACATATCAAATACAATTAATTATATGATGACATATATAATATATAATAGTGACACGAAAAATAAATAACAATATAATCTTTTTAACTGATATGTATCATCAAATGATTCTCGTGAACCAAATCAAAGCAAACAAGTTAAAATTCAAGTCTTTTAACAGTTATTAAAATACCCTATATTAATCTAGTTATAAAATCCAGAAAACCCTGACTAATAAGCACTAAAATACAGTGTATTCTCATTTTCTTTATAAAAATATATTTTTCTTGCATTTATATTTATTTTATATATTATTATTATATTTATTTTATTTATTTTAAATTTTTTTATTTTATTTAAACTTTTTGTGAATTTTCTTATTTTGAGATTTTTTTTTTAATTTCTTTTAAGTTTTTATTATTTTTAATATTTTCTATTTTTAATATTTCATTAATAAAATAATTTATATATTTCTATATTTTTTTTAATTTTTATGATTTTTTTGAATTTTTAATGAATTTTTATATTTTTCGGTATTTTTATATTTATTTATTAGTAAAATATTAATAAAAAAAAACAAACCAACACGTTATCGTTTTTGAACAGTACCAGTCACATTTTTAACTTGATGTACAAGTAAGCTAGATTAGAGGTTTAATATGTTAAATTTGCCAACTTATGTGTTTAAAGTGCTTGTAAAATACTTTCGGAGTTTAAATACTCTCAGAGTTTAAAGTGTAAATGGTTACCACCTTAAAAGTTTTTTATGCGATTTTCTCCTTTGATTATACAATTATTAATTCTACCGAACAATAACGTTTCTTAATTTCAACTTGTTTTCCGTTACGAATCCTTGTTTAATATTGTTTTCCGTTAAGAATCCTTGTTTAAAGTTTCGACGAAGATCCATCGTTTCGAGAGGGTAAACTGATACAAAGAAAACTGAAAGGTAGAGATGAGAAAAGCGAGGGGAGCAACACATGGATTGATGAAATGAATATACAATAACAACGGAGATGTCTTGCGCAGAATAAACATCTATATAAAAATATTTTTACGTATACTATTATTTAATTTGTATTTTATATGTTATAAAATAATAAATATATATTGAATAATTAAGAAAAAGTAACTATCTTACTATATAACATAAAATTTCTTCAATCCTGGTACATCCATGACAACAAATAGCGTTTTTTAGGTGTGATATCTGTCTCCCTAACCAAAACTCGGCATTTCATTAACATGACAGTGGACTACTGCATTTCATTATTTTTGGTTATAGAGTTGAACCCAATATTAAGAGCCCGTATATTTTTTCGTGAACAACATGCAGCTTCTAGGGTTTGGCCTGATCATGAGTATCCGACACCAAAACTGTTCCTTTTTTTGACAAAAAATGTTCTTCCCGTTCTCAGACGAAATCATTGAAGTATCAAGGCATCTATTGACTCAAATTTTCATGAATAATCTATATGTTTATCTTTAATCGCGTCCGTCCATTTTATCTTCAAATCTGTTGGAACACTCAAAGTTAAAGATCCATCAACTTTATCGTCTTTTTAACTCCAAATACTAACATTAAGCACGATTCACATTTAATGCAGGTTTACCCTCTGCAAAGCGGTGTATTTACTTCTATATAAAGGTTAGCATACTTCACTAAAGCATCATCCTCCAAATCTGTCAAACCCCAAAGTAAATCTATTTTCTTCAAAATGGCGAACTCATCAATCTTACATTCTGAATTGAAGTCCAGGTTCTGTCCCTCCACCGTTCAAGTGCGTTACTCTGGTTCTGGGAAGCCAGGAAGTCAGTGGCGATCTCAGGATATGCTCCTACTGGATTCAAAGGTTGTTCTATTTTATGCTTGCATTCATAATTTTTTCAAGTTTTCCGGTATGTTAAATCCTCATTATCAAGCTTTCCTATTCAGATTAGCTACAAGGTGGTTCGTGGTGAGTGTTTCCTATTTAGATCAGAGTATAGAGGTGAGAGTAGAGACTTATTCCTCTAAAAAAACCACACGGAGCTACTCTGAGTCGATCTCTTACTCCGTGGAGTTCTAGGAGAGTGATCCAAGGTGTTGTTTAATGGCGTGCAACATGAGGTAAATTTTCCATCTACGACACAAGCGATGAATAGGAACATATTGAGGTGATGGAGCTTCCCAAGACATTCAATAATGGGTGCTTGCAATATGGATGGAGCAATAAGTCTGTAACAGAGATATGGAAGCTGGAAAAGGTAAGCAATGTGCTTAAGTGGACCGTTTAAATTAAGATAGGTTAAAGGTGATGTAAACGCAGAACCCAGTGGAACCTACAAAATTTAGTACTAAGAGTAAAGAAACGCAGCTGCTTGCATTTCTCAACCAGAATTCGGGCTCGGTTTTCATCTGATGTGACTCACACATCTTCATATGTGAAACAAAGACTCAAAAGGTTGAATAAGTTCAGTACCAAGGAAGAGGATTGTCACTCGTATGGGATTTATTCAAAGTCTTGCCTTACTTTCAACTATCATGGCCTTCTTCTTCTTCCTTTATGTTAGAAGAAAACAACAGCTAAATATTAAAACTCCTCAACCAATATAATGTCTCTTGAGGATGTAAGTAGCTTATGGCAATAATAGATTAATGTGTATGTCTCTTAGTATCATTTTCAAGTTGTAGCCATTGGGTCATGGTATGTTCTGTTTAGGGGCTTAGGATTTTTTTTTGTTTGCCCATTGATGAACCTCTCGTGGACATTGAACCTACGGTTTACCCTTTTTATTTTCTAATGATCAAGTTCTTGCGTTTGCGTTTTAAATCTATGTTTCGTGATAATTATTTCCCAGAAATTCAACTAAATTGATCCTTTTTAAAAGTACACACAAGTTCTTTCTAAAAACAATCTTTCAATCAAACTCAAGACCAACACAGACTTGTTGACAAGCCTTACACGTTCACAGACCTACGGCATTTTATGAACCACTTAAGCTCTTAACCCCTAGATGATTTGTCTCTCCTTCTCCGGACGTACAAAACCTCTATTGCAAAAATCTCTCTCTGATTTTCATCAAAGGTTATAGAGTTCTAGATTTAGAAGAATATACAAAGAGATTTGTTATTCAAAGGAACCAAGTGTTTAATCTTCTAATCTTATGAATTTCTATTATTACCTTGATGCTATGAATCGCGGATAAGATCCTTGACGCTGGATATCTCAGAGAGTTCTCCCGCGATCAATTTTGCGGCAAGTCTGGCGCCGAGAAATTTGCAGTTCACAGTAGAATGCCCACGGGTGTGATGAAGATCGCAGAAGAAATTCTCGTCGAAATTCGGATTCCTTGACCACGTGTTCCCCGTAGTTCGCCCTTGTTCCGATCCGGAGTTAATGGCGTAGTTGTGCGCCCCTTGGAGATCCTGCCCCTCGTGATGGATGAATTTGTCGTTACAAGAGTTTTTTTTTTTCAGCTTCTGCTCGGATGTGATGTCCTTTGCGGATGCTTTTGCCTCCTTATGCTTTTCAGACAGGATTTTAGTCTCCTCTTCGATGGTTATGTAATCGGTAGCTTTGTGAAGCGCGTCCTAGATCGTTCGCGGTTTTTCGAGAGTTATCCACTTTCGAAACTTCGACTTGAACCAGAGTGATTATCTGAGCGCATCGATGGCGGCTTTATCACTTATTCCGCTAACCCTAGCCATGACGAGTTTGAATCTGCTCATAAAGTCGCGAAGGGATTTGTCTTCCTTCTGCAATAAACTCCAGAGATCAGCGTCATAAGTTTCCCAATTTGTAAACATCGAGTACTGCTTTAGGAATTCGGAAGCAAGCTGGCGAAAACTCCCGATTGAGTTTCGCTTAAGTTTGGCAAACCACTCGAGCGCTCCTCCTTCTAGGTTTTCGACGAAAAGACGGCAGTAGCCCACGTCCTTTTCGTGATCCTTGAGCTTGGCTCGTCCCATCGTAATCTAGAAGGCCTGCAAGTGCGCTTTGGGATCAGCTATCCCGTCATAAGTCCGCACCTTGAGCTTTCCTAGATCAGGTAGCTTAACCTTGGTGATGCGAGCCATAAAAAGCATTTTTCGAGATTCGTATAGCAGCCGATCGATTTCAGGTGCGATGCTGATAGCATGGTGAATTTGAGACTTCACCGCTTTTACCGCTGCGGCCGTTTCAGTAATGTAGTCGCGGAGATTACGGATCTCTGTTAGGTCACCAGCAGTTTTCCGACCTCGTCGACGTTTGCTGAGAGTAACTGGAGACCGTTCCTCGGCTGTTTTTGCGCGTTGCGCAAAATAGAGCTCCACCCCGTCTCTAGTAAGAGAACGCTCGGGAGAAGACTCCGGCAGAGGGCTGCGAGTTTTCCTTCTCTTAGGATAGACGTCTGCGTCCTCGTCCGACGAGTCGGCTTGGTT